ATATTTACATATTTACATCTATATATTTTCTGTATCACCCTAATCTGTGCACGTATCACATTATTCTACAGTTACCTCTCATAAAGGGTCATCGACAGAATCCGAAACGTCAGGCAAATAAGTTTCTTCTTTCAGCGATCGCATCTTCTGCTACCAAAACTAACATCATCACCCTGACAGGAGTCCGTGTGTTCCACTTCCTCAGTGGACTTCCATATTAGATGCTTGCCCTTTTACCTCTAACACTGACTTCCTCGTCTTCCCAACCGGCTAGCATTGATATCTTTAAGGGTAAATTGCAAAAATCTCACCCAAGGTCAAACTGTCTAGTCGGCCCTTCCACGCTAGAGTGGGGTCAACATCCCAGTGGCGGACTGAATTGTCTTCGCAGCAGGGTTGGGGATCAGTGTTATGACAGCTGTTGTACGAATAGTTGACACTCGATAATGGAGACTGACGAGCGCCGGTCAACGGTGAAGTCATACAGGAGGTCGGAGCAGTAGAAGGCTGGGAGGACAAAACGGTGGTGGGTGAGGAAGACGGGGAGACTGTGACGGTATTTTCGGTGACCACCTCCTCCGGTGGAGAAAAGGTCACTTTATCGGTGGCGTTCAAAGAACTGACGGCTTCGAGAGCTGGGTCAATGGGTACCTCAAAGGATGATTCTCTAATCTCCGATGGTGGTGGTGGTGGCGCACTCTCCCTCGGGGTTGAGGTGTCAGTTAAATGGGCCAGAATCTCCACGCGAATCTCTATTTCGGATTTGCCACATTCCCACTGTGAAAGAACAAGGCAAAAAGGGTGAAACAAACAAAACGTTCGCAGATAAATTGTATGTTGCAAAGAAGACGAAAGCGCGACCACTGGGACAATAAATGGAGCAGATTGAGCTTTGGACTCGTACAGGAGGCCATCATCAGAGACAGTGAGTGTAACAACAAAGGAGTCTTTTTTAACTACACAAAAAGGAAGGGGAAGAGAGTTTGATGGGAAGAGGGTGCGGTTGGCGATAAGACTCAGTCCACACCGTCTCACGACACGGTGAGCTGGCAAGTGGACTGCGCCTCTTGGCCACGTGAACGTAGCGCGTGAAAACAGGGAGGCAGATCAACGCGTCTGGCGATACCTCCAGTAGTTCCCACCTCGTACTACATTTTGCATTTCAATTGTATTCAAAAGTAGTTTCGGGTTCTAGGACGAAAGTCCTTCTATGCCTAATGAGTTTCATGGAGGCGGTATCAAAGACGTTACGTTGACGAACAATAAGTAATAAGATGCATGAGCTTGGTTTCCAGAGCTTATGGGGATAATCTGCAATCGTTGACGGTCGCTTCACCACCCTCCCACATGTTTACCGGGAATTCCTTTTTTATAATTGTGATGGTCAAATATATTCGCTTACGATTAAAATATGCCTCCGAAACATTAGAGACCAGAAGATTGCGGTTGACAAAAAATGAATT